AGACCCTGAACTATAGGCAAAGGGATGATAAAGATAAATAAGACACTGTTTTGTGCTCAAAGGACTCAGATGGAGACAAATGGGGGGAGGGGAAAGGCAATTACACCATATATTTTTTTTTATTTATATATGAAATTTATTGTCAAATTGGTTTCCATACAACACCCAGTGCTCATCCCAAAAGGTGCCCTCCTCAATACCCATCACCCACCCTCTCCTCCCTCCCACCCCCCATCAACCCTTAGTTTGTTCTCAGTTCTCAACAGTCTCTTATGCTTTGGCTCTCTCCCACTCTAACCTCTTTTTTGTTTTTTGTTTTTTTTTCCTTCCCCTCCCCCATGGGTTCCTAAGTGCTATGATAAATATATCTTCAGAAGCATAGAAGATGGTCCTTAATCCCGCTAAACATTTCCTAAAAGAAGTGAAAGCAAAGCAAGAATTAGAGGATGCATAACAACTTGCCATATGAAAGCAGTGAGTGGGAATAGAGATTAAGCAGCTTAGTAATAAGGCATTTCAGGAACTGAAAAGAGCAGAAGCAATGGCAGAGAGTCATGACACAATCTTGTGTTCAAGGGACAAAAGCTGTTTGGAGTAACTGGAGAATTAGATGTGATGCATGAGTGGTAAGAGATGAGAATTGAGCACCGGACAGGAGCCTACTGGTGGAATATTGTTCATGTTCTAAATAGCTTTTAAACTGTGGGCAGTGGGGGGCGCCTGGGTGGCTCAGTCGGTTAAGTGGCCGACTTCGGCTCAGGTCATGATCTCGTGGTCCGTGAGTTCGAGCCCTGCGTCGGGCTCTGTGCTGACAGCTGAGAGCCTGGAGCCTGTTTCCGATTCTGTGTCTCCCTCTTTCTGACCCTCCCCTGTTCATGCTCTGTCTCTCTCTGTCTCAAAAATAAATAAACGTTAAAAAAAATTTTTTTTAAACTGTGGGCAGTGGGGAGCCAAAGGAAATATTTAAAGAATGGAAATTATGTGGTTAGCTCTCCCTGATAGCAAAAACCTAGCTATAAAGTATGTGGGGCATATATTTGCAGGGGACAAAACTGAAATATAAAGATCCTGAGAAATGAGTTAGGCCTAATCTTGAGAGCAGTGGAGACTTCTCTGTGTAGGTGAGACAAGATTTCCACTTCTAGAAATATTTAGAAAGTAAAATTCACAGGACTTGATTATGGTTGGATATAAGGGATAGAAGGAAGAAGAAATCAAAACTATTTTCAAAGTTTCTAACCTGATTATCTGAGTAGTTAGTAATGCATCAGCTTGAATATAGAATATGAGAGGCTACAAAGCTTTAAAGTATAAAATAAATTCAATTTTTTGGCATGTTGGAATTCACGGTACTTCTGCTATATCCAGAGCAGCTGGATATACAAAACTAAAAGAATGGATGATGCAGATTTGGTGGTCAATTGGAAATTGATGGTTATTAAAACCATATACAGAAAATTGGATGGATTGGGAAGAACTGAGGTGAAAACAGAGGTTAATTACATCTAACTATACCAACTTCTATTTTTAGTCACTGTTCATATCTGTCAATGTCTCCTATCTCTCCTCATTTACGGACAACTTTGGCACGTGGCTCATTTTCCTCCAAGCAGACCATAATTGCAGATGGCTCATCCAATGCTCTAGGCTCTCAGTTCCTTGATCAGCTTTAAAGTCTTTCAACAACTCTTAACCTCAGGAATCCATAAATAAAAACTTCAAACTCTCTCACACTGATGTTTCCACTTTTGTCTTTGGCCTCATCAAGAACCCTATTCTCTCTTACTACTACTCTATTACTCTCCAGGCTACTCTTACTGCATTCTCATTATTGGTATTTCTAATTTTTTATTGCTCCATGTACCATAAGAACTACCATTTTAATCATTATCTTTCCAATAATCTAAAATCATTTGCCTTGTTATACATTTTCCATGTGCCTCACTATCCACAGCTGAATCTAATCAGTTTTTGTTTTTTATTTGGTAAATTATGTGATCCTTATAGAAGTTATTGTATCTAAGAATTTCATAATTTTTAGCCATTTTAAACCTTGTAACAAAGCCATATGATGGGCACAATCGGTACGTTGCCTGCAAGAGGAACTCAAACTGTCATACAAGTTTGTGATCCCCAATCTGCATTGTAATATTCGTCTGTTTTATTGACTCTTTTTTCTCTTTTTGGAATGCTCTCTATGGAGAAATTAACTATCGTGCTGTGAGAAAGGCCAAACTATCCCATGAAGAGAGACCACAGAAGAAAACTGAAGCTACAAGCCCTCAGTCAGCATCAGCCACCAGACATGTAAGTGAAATGCACAAGCCTACAGATGAGTTCATCTTCAGACTTTAAGTCGTCTAGTCGAGTCCTCAGACATCACTGAGTAAAGACAAGCCATCCTTTGCTGGAAGTCGAGCTACCCAGCCTGTGTGGCAAAGCCTGGGCTGTGGATGGATTGGTGACTGCAAGGCGGCCCACCGACAGTGAAGCTTCTTGTCCTCCCGCTTTTAGATAGTGTGGTCTTAAAACTACTTGGGGTATTGTCTGTTGGGGAATTGCCCTCAGCAGGCCCCCTGGGAAAAGAACCATTAGGGAAGAAAATAAGGTTCCGCAAGAAATTGGGCGGCCTTACATTTGGCCCTTGCCATCCCCATGGAGACTCCTCTACTTACAGGAAGGATAGCCTCATGCATTTGCCAGCAAAAGCGGCCAACGAAGGAGAGACATATGGATCCGAAAGCCCCACTCCGGTAACTAAGGAGTGTATCTATGGACACAGGTCACTCTGACCCCTAGGCCCACCTGGCCCCCAGGAGGCATTCCAGATGATGATTGAACCTAGTCGGTTAAAGCTACAGAATGGTTCACTGGTTCCTAGGTGCATTGTCTCTCTGAGAATGTATAAGGTGTGGGTTTCTAAGGCCCTCTTGGCCCCCTTCTTGGCACCTCTGACCCAGGTGAACCCTTTTGTTCTTTAAAACCACGAATGGTTCAGGGAAACAACTAAGAGGTCGTGTCCCTGTAACTGTTCCACTTGAGATGTTGAGAGATAAATGGCCTTTCGTGAAAACAGCAAAGCAAGAACTTTATAAATTATAAACATAGATATATAATAAAAACAATAAAAGAAATTAATCAATAAGCAAAGGGCAGGAGGGGACGTTATGACAAAACAATCACGTTATTCCTTACTGAGGGATTATACAAAGGAACAATTTTAGAATTGGGTAATGTTAGAAAAACATAGATGACGTATGTTACAAGGAAATCACTAGCAAATATAATGCCATGTTTACTGCAATAAATCGGCCAGTTCAACACACTGCTGTTGTTTGTGTCCATTTTTATTTTAGTTTTTTATTTTAGTTTCTTATTTTAGCTTTTTATTTTAGTTTTTTATTTTGATTTTTGTTTTGTTTTATTTTCACTTTTTTGCTGACACCATTCATCCTTCGGGAACCCCTGGACATGCTGAAGCTGGACTCTGGCAACCCTTCCAATGTCTTGTCTAAACTTCTGACCCACAGAATTGGTAGAGGAACTTGTTATGTAGCTATAGTCACTGGAATATTACCTATAGCAAAGTTTATTGCTAAATCCAGCAAATATCTTTTTGATTTGTTTTTTGATTTTTTGAAATGTTTAACATAGTCAACCAAACCCTACATATTTAAATACTCTCTTTATTTTGTATGTATATCACTGCATACTATACACGGTGCTTGGATCTTTCTCATCATTCCTTGTCAGTTACCACGGAAAGCCCATCTACCCATTCCTTTCCTTAGGGCTCTGTCCACGGCCCTCTCTGGGCCAGTGGTCTCAATCAGGAGTATGAAGTTGAGAACAAATACTCAAATTTAATGGAAGATCTAATAGCAAGTGTGAATAAAAAATATGATGCTATTGACAGTTGTAAATATTAAGGCTAAAGTGTCATGTATCTCCATTGTGACACATATTTCTCCTCTTCAATACATGTGACATGTGACAGGTTTGTAAGAAACTATCAATCCCCTAAGTATATTATTATTTCATTCTGTACAATGGCTGTAGTCTCAAATAAGGAGTTCAATAATTATTATTGTATTCTAAAATGGTAAGAGCCAAAGAATTAACCTGACAATTTTAAAGAGTAGGGTAAATTAAATATTGAATAACAAAACAAAGACATTCTTTTTTTTTTTTTTTTTAATTTTTTTTTTCAACGTTTATTTATTTTTGGGACAGAGAGAGACAGAGCATGAACGGGGGAGGGGCAGAGAGAGAGGGAGACACAGAATCGGAAACAGGCTCCAGGCTCTGCCATCAGCCCAGAGCCTGATGCGGGGCTCGAACTCACGGACCGCGAGATCGTGACCTGGCTGAAGTCGGACGCTTAACCGACTGCGCCACCCAGGCGCCCCAACAAAGACATTCTTTACATTTCATTGTTACAATGAAATTGTAAGTTAAATCACTGGTAAAGATTATATATTAAGATGAAAAATAAAACAAAATTTCTTATCAGAGTCTTAAATTAATCAAAGTTTTTCATTGTCAATGAATATTTTTAATACATTAAACAATGTCTCTGAATAAAGAACAAGTCCTAACGTGTCTTACATATGTAAATAATTAAACAGTATCTGGTCTGGTAGTAAGTTGTTTCATCCTCATAAGGCAATTTCTCAGAATGTCAGAGAAAGGAAAAATAATTTAGGCGGGAAGGAAGGGGAATCTGATCTTGAGTTTCTTGTGAACCTTATCTCTGACATTTATTTCTGGCTTTGTTTATGAAATTGAACCTACATCAAAAGATAATGAACCATTTTTGCAGGACTCCTCCTGTGTTTGAGATCCTCTAGGAAAGATCTGGAAATGTTCTTTTCTGAGCATTGCTGTGAAGACCCTTTAGAACACTTATTGATGTCAGATACTGAACATTCTTAACTGATTCATGGCATTTGAAACATATCCTTTTCTCATACCAAAATGTTTTTTTTTATTCTCCTTACCTTGCTGTACAAAGGATCCGTAGACAAACCACATGGAGTTGTAGAGAGTAGTAGATGTCATTGATCCCATTTGTAATCGTGGGGGATTAAGCCAATTTAGGAGGTAGACCAGAAGACCCACCAGAAGAACAGTGCCAGCAATGCAAGCCCATAGAGAGAGATCAAATGGTGCGAGACAGGCAAACATATCCACTGTCTTTTCAGCCCTTCGAAGTAGTACTCCCACTGAGTAGTCCATGTAGCGTGTTGTAAAGTCCACCACATTCTCACGATCTGGGGTGATGGTTAAAGCAGAAATCCCTATGTCAGCTCTCTGAAAAATTGAAAAGAGAAAATAATAAATTAACAATGTGGAAAACAATTTGATTTGTGGTGCTTCAACTTGCCTGAAGGAAACGAAAATAGATGCCTCAGGCAACATCTTTAGTCTTTTTATATAAACGGAAAAACACTGCAGATATTTCTTAGAGGAGAGCTCTGTATGAATTTTGCATTTCTTACTGCAAATCTTGCCCCACCAGAGTCAGATAAATGACCTTGTTCATATTATCAGTGCATGTGAAATCAATGAAGAATATTTCAAACAGATAACACCTGAAGGAAATTGTCTTTTTTTCTTGAGTCCTTTTTATCAAAGCCGTCATTAACACAGTAACAAAGGCAAAACATATTCTAAGGAATGCTTTCTGAGAAAATGTTCCCAAGATATTTTTATTATGTTCTTAAGATGTAAATTATTAGATAGCATATTTAAAAAAAAACCCCTCAACACAGCATTTACTCTTGGTTTAGATTTCTCTGCATCAAAATTTATATTATTGATTTCTAAATGCATTACAGTCAGAACTTTCATATAGCACTGTTATAGTGTCATTTGCCAAAAGTCTCTACTATGATTTTATTGCACAAATCTCAGAAATGTCTTAACAAAAAATGAAAAATTAAGGAGACATAATTCTTCTCAGAGTAACAACTCTTCTTTTCAATGTGTATCTCCCTAGATTCTCAGTGATAGCATTAAAAATGGCAGTACATGCTATTTTACTTATTTGAAGCACAGAGTAGAATTGTAGGGAGAGCACAGAACAAATGACATATTTAAATTCTATAATATGAGAACACATATTTAAATAACCAGAAGATGTATTTTGTTTGAAATAATGATCCATGGCTGTGATTAAAGCTGTGGGAAGCTCCTTCCAGACAAATAAAAATAATAGTAAATTGTGTGTTGAACATTTTTGCTATTATTTTTCTTCCTTACTTATTGTTTTATGAAGGAAGACAGCAACAGGTTTTATTGCTTTTGGACACCAAACAAAACGGAACAAAAGAAAACAAACAAAACAAAAAAGAAACAAAAAAACATGTGAAGTAACATACCAAACGAAATGCTAAACTGGCTCAAATAAATCTAGTGTCTGAAGTAATAATGGCTTCAAAAATATTCTACATGTATTTAAGAATCATGTGCGTTTGTGTGTGTACATATATATGCACATATATGCATATGTTTATACATACATATCAGTCCATATATATTTGTTGCTAAGTCCAGTACTAAATATTTAAATACATTTTCTTATTTAATCCTTACAATATGAATGTAATTCATGAATTGTGTGTTTTCCCCTTTATTTCATACAGAAACTACAAGAATTGTGTACCTTGTTTAGTTCTCATTGTTTATAAGTATAGAAGTCAATACTAAAGCTAGGTTTTTCTTACTACAAATCACAGCTCATAACCACTTACCTCATTGCAAAAATCCTTCATTTTCCAAATGATGCAAATGGTAGGTGGTTAAGATAACTGGTTTTAGGACAAGTTTTATCTTAACAGAGTCTCAAATTTTGTGGGTTTTTTATTGTAGTATTTATATTGCAACAAGGCCATATTAGTATACACACCATGAGCTTATAATTATTAACAGAGAGGTATTATACTTAATAACATATGTGAAAATAAACTTTCAGAGAAATAATTATTATTGCTTTCAGGCTCATGTTTTTATTTATTTATTTATTTATTTATTTATTTATTTATTTATTTATTTTTAAGTAGGTGTCATACTCAACATAGAGGCCAAGGTGGAGCCTGAACTCATACCCTGAGATCAAGACGAGCTGAGATCAAGAGTCGGATGCTTAAATGACTGAGCCACCCAAGTGCCCCTCATATATTTATTTTCTATAGCTAAGTATTAGGAATTTGGTCTTTTAAGGTTGAAAAGCTAACCTGGATCCTTATTTCTCCAGTTCTATCTTTTGTAAACTTCAGTTTATCTATTTGTGAAATGAATGTAACTATATTAGTGTGACTACTGTGAGTGGACTCATATTATCTTAATCCTAATGGTAATAAATATCTCTCCGAGATTCATTAGGCTTTCAGAAGTTGCCTTTAGTTTTTCAGGACATTACAGTACTATGGATCAGTAATCCAGTAATTGATGGACTACTGAGCTAATGCATTTTATGACTCAATCACAATCAGAATATTTCACCTATGGAAGAACTTACTGACAACAAGTTGACTATGTGTAAACTTTCATCAATATTTTTCTAATAATTCAATGTTAACATTTAAATGATCATGAATTGGAATAGTCACATACTAATTCTACTAATAGGTAAGTATCACGAAGTGAATTTGTATAATGGAGAAAAGATATTTAGGGAATAATGTGTGTTTTCTTTTTGGAAAAGGAAACTGATTATATTGTATATGCTAACAGATTTATTAAATATAATAATTACTTGTCATATTTTTACGGAGAACTAACTTCCTAGGTTCTGGTCCAATTTTAACACTTGGCTACTCTGTTTTCAAGGAGAAATTCCCAGTATTCCTGTGGAGGGCATATCAGAATCATGTGATAAGCTTTTCAAACTGCACAAATACATTTATATACAGACACAATATAAACACATATACACACATTTTCTCATCCCTGAGATATGTATACACCTTTCTAAGAAAGTACTTCATCCTATTCTACAGAATCACAATATTGAGCAGATAATTGTGCTTCATATGAGTATGTGATAGTCCTTACTTGTATTAGAATTTTATTGGAGCAGGAAAAAAAAAAAAGCCAAGAACCACTGATTCAAAAAAGTTAACTTCTTGAATATCTCCAAACTACCAAAAATGATCAGAAACAAATGATCATTCCTATCCTCCCTCCCTGCCTCCTTCACTGTCTTCCTTCCTTTTCTTTTCCTCTTCTTTTTTTTCACCTTCTCTCCCTCCCTTCCTTCCTTATCACTTATTTATCTAATTATTTACCTGTCTATGTATGCATATATGTCAATTCACTTTTCCAGTTTCTACATTTCAAATCTTTACTGTCATGAAATCTTTAATTTTCTCAGTAACCACCCCTCCCAACTCTTGAAAGATGACCTTAACTGCTATCTTATAAGGAACATAAAAGATATCAGATTAAAATTCAGGCTTATTTCTACCTTCTACCACTCAACATATATCCTGCACCCAGCCTATTCTATTTAACGTCTATTTACAATGAAAGAACTGTCTTCCTTCCAAAAACCAACCCACCATTAGTAAACTTATCAACCAATTCCCTCTTTCAGATATTTAAACTCCTATCTTTTATGTATAAAACATCATCCTATCAACTAAATTTCCTATGAAAAGATTCTGTAACTCCTTTGCATTAAAATAAAAACAACAAAAAAAGAGAAAAGTCTGTCCTCCTCTCCTACAACTTCTGAATCGCAGTTATTACCTTTACTTCCTCTCTCTTTTTTCACAATTTTCTTTAAAGATTTGTCTCTATTTCCCAATCTCCTAGTAAGTCTGGGAAGATTCTTTTGTACCCATATTGCTAAGCACTCTATTATTCAAGGGACACAGCACTTTTTAAGTTTTGCATTGCTGACTCAAATGGATACAATTTAGTGCTCATCTGTTTAGGTTTCTTGACAACATTTGGCAATGATGACTGCTTTCTCCATCATAAGCACTCTTTTCCTTGGATTTCATGACATGACATAAGCTTCTTTTTCATTTCCTTTTTCAAGCTTATGTTGGCAATCCTCTGGACTTGGGCTTTATAGACTTTTCCCATTTGATCTTCCGCCTAGGCAATCCCATTTATATACATTACTTCCATTGTCCCCATTCATACATCAGATTTACAAATTTATATTTCTAGATATAGATCTGAGGTCTGGAGTCCAGAGTGATTTATGTAACTTCATAATTGATACTTCTATTAGAAGTCTCAAAAATACCTCAGATTTAACATGGCCAAGACCATACTCAGGCTGTTCAACTCTAACTAGTCTTCTCTCAGTGTCTCCTTCCTCAATGAATATCTTTTCACACAAGTCTTAAATCTTGGTGGTTTCATTATCTTTTCCAATCTTACACCTCCTGTCTTATCTGTAACTATTGATTCTACCTCCTGGCAATCCTAATATACATTCGCTTCTCTACTATTGTCAGTTCTCACCATTGCTTTTATGGGCTTATTAAGAGTCTATCTGAAATCTACCTTTTCTTTTTTCTTAATTTCCCTATTGCAGTAAAAGTAATGTTTCTGTTGAGCAAATCTATCTGTCCCTTACACAGCTTAAAGGTTTTCAATGCATTTGCATTGCTCTGAGGAAAAGGATTCAAATCTTTAACATAACCTATACATTTTTAGATGGATTATCCTCAACCTACCTCAACATATATATATACTGGACTATTTTTCTTTCCAGCACTACTTCCTGATGCATGGTCTTTGTACATGTTATTTCCATTGAATGGATTGTCCTTCCTGAAAATTCTTCAAGTAAACTCATATTCATATTCATAAATCAGCTCAATTATCACTTCCTCGGGGAAGCTATCCATGACCCCCATGATTAGAATAATAATTCTTGTTATTTATACTACCAGAAGTCTATATCCCTCACTTCTCTAGCAGTTCTGACAGTTGTAATTTTACAAATATTTGTGTGATCCTTTGAATAATGTCTGACTTTTCTACTAGACTGCAAGCTCCATGACTAGTTTTTATTTTTGTTTTAAATTGACATATTCCTGGTATCTACCACCTTTGTTTGGCATAGATTCATGATCAATAAAAACTTGCTTCACATGTAAAGAAAGATGGAACATTCACTGGATGCTTGTTATTCAATTCTTATAAATCTCTTCTATTCTTCAGCATTCCCAACAGAAAGAGATTTTTACAGAATAAAAACAAAATATAATATAAAATTTATGAAGTTTTATAGCAGTAATAAAAAATTTGTATCTTAATGAATAATTGCCTCAATAATTAAAATAAGG